GCGACCCGCCACCGCCCCGCTCCGGCGCCGCTTCCCCCGTTTCGAGCGCCAGCCCCGAGCCGGCTGCGCTCTGCGGCCTCGGCGAGGGTCTCCCTCCGTCCCCGCTCGAGAGCCCGGTCCTGCCGGCGGTAGAGGGCAGCCCCGGTGGGATGGCTCTTCCCCGGGGCTCCGGCAGCCCCGAGGCCGCTGTGTGCCCTCCCTTCCAGTGCCGGCAGGATGAGGCCTCCCTCACCCTGCTCCTGCATGTGCCCGGCATCCAGCCCCAGAGCCTCAGCGGGGATGTGGGCACGAACCATTACAGCCTCCGCTTCTCCAGTGACACTGGCGCCTATGCCCTCTTCTTACAGTTTCCTCCTGCAAACAGGCTGGCGTCCCCCGAGACCAGCATTAGCGTGTCTGCCCACAACGCTGCCGTTGGGCTTGCCAAGGCCCCCGACAGCACCGGGCCCTGGGAGAAGTTCTGCTTCGGCCTTGACGCCTCAGCTCTGCAGGTAACGGCTTCAAAATGGCAGGGTTGGTGCGTCACGCTTCCCAGAATGCCACTGCTTCACTGTGGTGTGTGACTTCTGTTGTTTGGATTTGTTCATGAATCATGTCTTGGGGAGCTGTTAGGTTATCGGTCTGAGTTCAGAAGATGTTGGTAGTGACGGAAGCTGCTTCCCTAGGAGAGCTGTTACCGGATGTAAGTGGAATGACCTAATGAGTGCTAGTCTTGTACGAGCAGTACAAAGGTCACGTCACGGAGCTGATATCTTCATTCTTGGAATTGAAATGACTTTTGCCTCCTGTGCTGATTTTTTTTAAGGGAAATTCTGATGATGAGTGAAAACAGAGCCTGCCCTATGTCCTTAACATTAGCCTTTAAGGCTGTGTAAATTGCTTATGCAGCCTATTCATGTGAAAGAAGGAGATGTTTATAATACACCAGATGTACACACACATGCATACAGTGTCATGAAATGCAGGCGTGTGAGTGGCGTGTACCTGTGTCTGTATTTCAGGACAGAACTCCCATTTACAGCTGCAGGAACACCCATTAGTTCAACCACAGTAGTACAGCAAACTGCAGCTATGAACTGCTGCAATGTTGATTGCCATTTTGCTGGGCTAGTTCTTCATCTTCTCTTCTTACTAGTCTGAGTATGATGCTAGTTGAGATGTTTTTTTATTTTATGGGTCGTTAGGCAGTGATGCTCCCTGTGGCGGGAGGAGGTTGGCATGTGTGCTGCATCGGGCTGACAGTGCCTGCTGGGAACTGGCACTGTCCCCGCAAAGGGATTCTCACTTTGAGGCACTCTTGATGTCAAGAAGCACTCGCACAAGTTTTGTGGAGAACTATGTTATTCTGTGAGCTCAGACTTTCAAACAAGTTGTCATGAGCAGGGATTAAGACTGCACAATTCTTGTGTAACCTTTCAGCCATGTGATTTGGAGTTCGTCTTTATTTTAGAACAATAAAATCCTTTAGTTTGGATCACGTACCATGGGAGTGCAAGTCCAGAAAGCTGGCAGGCTTAAAGTATATCCACTGGGATGGTGGCTTGGAGTATCTTAATTGCTCCATCCCTACAATTAGAAAATACTGCATGATTCTGAAAGATTATCCAATTAGTATATGTGCAGCTGAATCTTCAAGTTTTATTTCCCATTTAGCAGGCTGCATACCTTTTCTGTAATAGCAACTCATTTGAAGGAGAGGCTGATCATTTTGGGTAAGTATCAAAGATGATGAATTTATTGAGAACCACCTATGCTGAACTGTTTGCAGTGCATTTCCTTCGCTTTTACCGGAGCAGGAGCCTGCAAGTCTGTGCAAGTGGGGCCATGGCACATTCAGCACTACTGTTAATCGGTGCCAATGTGATATCAAATAAGCCATCATGCAAACTACTGCCCGTTTTCTGTATAGGTACAGAAGGCATGGGGTAGGAACTACTGGCATTTTATCCGCTTTTTCGGATAGTCTGAATATCTTCCATCATGTGCCGTGGTGTGTGTGCGTGCGCTTCCTTGTTTTATGGCATGCAGGCCTAAATGCAGCTTTTAAGGGATAACAACAGCTTTCTGTGGCTCTGCGTGGGGATATAGCTGAAAATTCAGTTTGGGAACAGGAAATTCTGCTGCAGTATCTCTTTAGTGCTGCGATTGATGGACATTTCTGCACGCTTTGATCTCAGTCTCATGATTGAAAGTGTTTGGTGTGTGCATTAGTTATTATGATTGCGGGAACACCTTTTAATTCAAAGTTGTTAAAAGGGCATGCAGTAATAGGGTTTTTGTCAATATTACCGTTTTGTGAGTTAAAAAAATCTTTGAATGTGCTGAATTTATTATATATTGCAAAATGTTTTGGGTGGAGTAGGAGGAGGAGGTGATTGGTCATTAGTCATACATAGGCCTCCCAGCCATTCATTCATGTAGCAGGCTAGAAAAGATTTATTTCTTCTGGGGTGCAGTCCTTTTGGATACCAGGCCTGCAAATTGAAGTGGCTGAAATAATCTGAAGTCATTTGTTCTGTTTGCTTTTTTTTTAACTGTGCTATTTCCCAAAAGTGCCTGTGCCAGCGCTGATAGCGGCATTCAGCCAGAGTGAAGTGAGAAAAATTAATATTTAATTAGAGCTACTATTATATGCTGTCGTCTGTCCATTAACTATTCGCTCGTGGTAGCTTCTCTTCTATATATGTTGATTTCTTCAGTTTGTCTGCTGTCATCTCTGGTGTTTTTCTGCTTTGAATCTCTTTCTATAAATCAGAACTGCGGTTCTTGCATTGAGATCTGCTAGGAGTTGCATCTGTCATGGAATAGTGTTTTAGGAATGCGCACAGTAGCAGCGCCCTGTTTAATCACTTCAGGGAGCTTTCGGTGGCCTAGGCAAGCAGGAGTTTTATCCTGCACCTCCCAGACACACTGCTGTCGTCTTCTTCCACAGTAGCATTGCCAGAGGATAGTGTGTGGTGAAAGAAGAGGCCAGTGTTTTTTACAGATGGGAAATTCCTACTCTGCTGTCTTCTGGGAAGTTGTTTCTTACTGGAGACCACGGTTTTCTGTGATGTTTCAGGGAACAGATTCCTCACTGGGTTAGTTACTTCAGAAATCTGCCCAACTCGCCGACAGCTCGCACCACGGTGGCTGTTACAGTACCCTGTTAGGCTGCCTGCGTAATTGTCTCCCATTAATTTGCCAAACAGCCAGGAAAACGCGTTACGGTAATTGTTCACCGCATGAGCTGAATGGATGTCGTTGGCAGCCTCGTCCCTGGACTATGATGTAGTGCAGTGCCTATTGCTTGATTTTGATTGCCTGTGCGCCTCTGCCCAGATCAACATGTACGATAACGGTGTGCCAGTAATTGCACAGCCCTGCCTTGTGTGCTTGTGATGTTCCTGTTATCGCATTGGCCTCTTTTCTTGTTGGAAATTGGTCTGATACAGATATTGGTAGAAGAATGAGTTGAGCTCATCCTTAGGTTACCATTCTTGAAACAGAATTTCAAGGACTGGTTTTCCTTTTGTAGTCAGATGTGTTTGAATCCCTGTGCTGAAAGATGATATATTTAGAGCTCAGTTTCCATAGATGCTGAGCAGTCTGAATTCCCACCCCAGCAAGTGCTTATTTTCAGCAAGTCTTTACAGTGCAGTAGTCCTCCCTGGACTTTAACTGTGTCATTGCAAGTATTCCTTCATTTGATAGCTCTTGATGTTGTGTCGGTTTCACTGCTTTCCCATACAATAGATGGTCAGCTCTCTGCTGACTCTGAGCCCTAACTTCTTATCAGCAGTTGCAGTCATTGCTTCTCTTTGAGTAGGTTCGCTCCTTGGCTAAACCATAATGTCCACACACTTGTTACAGTGAGCAGAAATCCTATAAAAATAAAAATTCCGTAACTTTGGGCTTCATGGACCAGGGTCATGTATTCCAGGGGTTTAAAAAGTTATCTTTTGTCACTGGCCTTGTGCTCGATCACTGTAGCAGAGACCACACGGTGTTGATCTTTCTGCAGGGCTCACTCCAGGCCCTGTTTTTCCAGGGCAATAGAGACTCATGACGTGAGGAAGTTGCCTGGCTTCCCTGCTGCCAGAGTCACCGTCTGCTCTTTGCCTAGAAGGACCAGCTGTGGGCTGTGCTCCCTCCATTACTCTTTGTTGCAGTTCATCCACTAATACCTTCTACATCTCTTGCTTCCATTTGTTTAAATCCTGGGAGCTCAGGCCTAGGAAACTCCTGCACCAGAGAGTTCCCCTTCATTTTAAGACAACAGAGCCTGGGGAGTAAATGATGAAAAAAGAATGGTTGAGAGTTAAATAACCATTAATAAAATTTGTAAGCTTGCCAGGCAAGGTTTCTGAGAACAACATGTCCCAGAATGTCCTGGTTTACGGCAGAGCTGGAATTGGGCAATTATGGAAATCATGCCTTTGTAAAGCATGTCTTTTTAATGTTTGGTCTCCTGGGGTTAAATGCTCAGTTCTTAACAGAAATAAAAAACAGTTTTCTGGTAGGTATATCTGAACTACTGAGACTTGGAGGCTCAGTTATACTAGCATGTGAAACATGTTTGGTAGATAATTAATTCTGCCTGCAGTTTTTGGGTCATGTGTGCTCATTTTCATGTGATTAGAAAAAGATTGGTTAAAGTAGTAATTCCCTTTCATGCTGATCCACACCCTTCCTGCCCTTCTTGGTGGACTGAAATGAGTTTGTTCAGCGGATTTGTGCTCACTCTACTGGTCAGTGCTTCCCTCCTGCGGTCCCCCTCGCTGGGGAGGGAATCGCTGCAGTTAGCCCATCCCTTTTGTAATAAAAGCCCATGTTCTGTCATGGAGAATATTAAGATTTAACTCACGTAAACCCCCATGGGGTTCCAGGGAACAGCAGGGAGCAGTGTTTCCTGTGCTTTAGTATGCACTGAGATTATGTTTTTTTAACTTTTACAGTATGAAAAATATTATACTGAACATTCCTGATTAGTTCATGGTTGGAACTAAGCATGAGTTATGCTGTTTGTGAGGATTACTTCACATGGCTATCTAAAAGGGAATTGCATAGCAATACAAAAACTTGAACTTATGTGTGAATGTTGATGCCTTCACGGAGAACGTTTTAGATGGGTGTATTACTGAGCATAAAAAAAAGAGGTGTGATTTTTTTTCTGCTTGGCACAGCCACCAGCGCCTTGTGAAGAGGATCCTTTTGAAGCCTTTGTTGCTTTTTCCTTCAGAAAGCAGCCGGTAAATAACGCTGAAGCCCTGTGACCTCTGCTCGCTGCACGCACCGACTGTCACGTGTTGTTTTCTAACGCCTGGACTTGGGTCTTCTGCTTTGGCAACAGGTGTGCTGTGGGGCAGCTCCTCCAAGACAAACTCACGCTATGACCTGTTTACACAAAAACCCCCATGGGAACAATATTATTTTTACTTGCCTTTACAACAGAGGGACTGTCAGTCTTTGTAATTAATCTCCTCGTTATCTCATTGAACACAGTACTTGTCTTGTATGTGCTGTCAGGTCTATTGTGCCCAGGCAGATCCCGTGCTCTCCAGCCATGTATTTCCTGGAAAAGAAGTCATCTGTGGGTGGCAGAGGTATGATGCTCCCGGCACTGAGGGTGTGTGGAAAAGGCTGTGGGCTAGATGTGTTCCCGTGGGCATGCTGCCTGGGGCTGTGCTGGGGCTGTCTTTGTGCTTGGTGATCTCAGAATTAGGGCTCTTGTGGATAAATGTATTTCTTGGTTTGAGAGTCAACCAAGCACGAAACCTAGAGACCTGTGTTGGGAAGTATAAGATGCATTGTCGTTTTAAGCCTATGTCACCTTTCAGGGAGAAGTCTGTACCGGAGAGCTGAATGGGTGCTGCAGTATGCTCCCACGTCCAAACAGAGGTGCTGGGTCTCAGCTGGCTCCGGCAGTCCGACTAGCTGTACTGCTGCATCTAGGTTTTGCCCTTATTTCCAAACTATTTTGAGTTGTGTTACATGCTTTCTTTGAAAGTCAGGGTTATAATTTTCAACTTCCAAGCTACTATAAAGAGTTAATATAATAGTTAGGGGTCACTTCTTAGAAGATGATGCTAGAAACTAGGACTGTTGTGCTTAATCCTACAACAGTTTATTTTTGGTTCAGTTAATTCTGTGCTCAGCATTTCAGGACTCTTGGCAAGTTTTTTGGGAGGTCAGAGGAGGACAGAAAAGGAGAACAGAGGAAACTTACTGTTTGATTTTTTTCAGAGTAATCTCTTACCCAAACTACATTAAGAAACATAATTGGTTTGCTTCTGCTATAAAACCAACTAATTTCTGAATAGCCTTTAGTTGGTAGATGCATTATGGGAATAATGTACTTACACAAAACAGTTATGTCATGAAATGTTATTTACCTACTGATTAAGCTCATGAAAGCTTCTTTTGAGCTGTTTAATCTTTGCAGTCATGAATACCTTATAATAAAGTTTTCACCCCCAGTACAGGTACTTTCATTCACCAAAAGTTTGAGCTTCAAATTCTCATGTCGAGCTGGTTTGCAATGGGACCCTACAAACCAAGAGGCCAGGAGATGCCTAGATCAAAATCCCTTTTTGTATTTGCATCAGCTTCTCATTACAGAAGACATGCAAATCATTTAAGCCTGAAATCTGTCCCACTTTTAAAACTATTGCAGCCTGCATGGGAGGTAACTCTGGATGGTAACTGGCAACGAGTTTGGATAAAGCAATGCAGAACAAACTGTTTGAGCGCTAAGGGCAGCCGGGGGAGGACTGGCTTTGTGCTGTGTCTGCCGGTGTTGCAGCCACTGCCGCTATGCGCTGTCGCTGCTGTGCGATACAAGGACGGTTTTGAATGATGAAGTGTTCTAGAAACCAAAGTCATTCCTGCTAACGTTTATGTTAATTTGGTCTCAGTTTAGTCATAGGAAAAACAAATGTGTACCAAACAGCAGATGACAGTATGTGCAGGGAAAAACAAATTTAATTCTAAGTTGCTAAGAGAATATCATAAATATCAGAAAATAAACTGTTTTAACTGAAGAATTATTTTACAGGGTCATTGAAATGATCTGCAGATGGTTGTCCTTTGCTGTTCTTCCAAGCCAGAGCAAATAGGCTTTAAAATAAATTCCTGAATCATTTTTTTGCCAAGGTCTGTGCTTTGATAACATCTGCAGTAATATAAATGCCTCAGCATATACTCACCGTGAATGCTGAATTACAGTCACTGTCTGTCTGAACAGGCTAATGATAATCATTATATTGATAACAAACAGCATTGCTTGTGCGTACAGCACAAGGTACCATGATTTATGGCAGGCTGCTGGGTAGTGCTGTGTTAAAATTTTAAATACTTACTTGAAATGTAAGTGTAGTGTTCTGGGAGTACGGTGTCGAGCTGGTATGAAATCTGGTCAAATTGGTTTATAGTAATTAGTCAAAATGATAGGAACGTTGTCACAAGCAGTTACTTTTTATCCTCCTGTAAAGTACCGACCAATAGACCTTTCATTCAGTTTTTCTTTTTTAGCAGTATTTTCTGTGAAGAAAACAAATTATTTTGCTTTTAATGAGGAAGGAAATCTTCAGAAAGATTTACTGGGTTTGTTGCCAAAGTGCAAAGTTGTATTTGCATTGGGGATGAACGGCTGTCGCTCCCTTCTCATAGCCATGGTTCACGGGCAGTGCTGGCACTCGCACCCCTGACCTGGGGAGGCAGTTTCTATACGGAGCTCTCTCAGCCTCACATTCTCTCCTAAGGTTCCTCCCAGTTTTCTTCGTTGTACCTTTGCTTTGGTGTGTGTAAACTGTCTGCTGCTATTTCAGAAATGCTTCTGTGAAACGGTTCCTGCGTTTCCTGGGACGGTGGGTGCTGAGCCCCGTGGCAGAACGCTGCCTTTGCTGCTGCTGCTGTTTCTCCACAGTGCTGACTTTGGAGGCAATGGCTCTGTAGCGTCTGCAAGTGTCCCTGTGGTTAAAGTCACTTCAGACAAAGTGATCTAAGGATGCAATTTGCTGTATGTTGACATAACAGAAAACTTTTTTCCTTACCTGTTGGCTTTTCAAGCATCTCCTCTCCCGATTCCTGTACCTGTGGTTTCTTTTTGTTGTTATGCTGCTTATGGACACGAGCAAGGTCAGGCACCAACTTTCAGAGCACAAATGCACAGTAAGAGAGTCCTTTTACAAAAGGCTTATGCTCTTACTAGACAAAACAAATGCAGGTTCAGAGGGAAAAAAGATTGTTTTCCCCATTTTATATAGGAAAAATGGAGGCAGAAACTTGCTCACAGTCATAGCAGTCCAGGAGAAAGCAGAGAATTGAAGCAAGATTGCTGACACCCAAAACCCACGGTGGTTCTTTTCCCAAAAGGGTGTTGAGATGTGCAGATCTTGTAGCAGTTATTTTGGAGGAAAAACAGCAACAAGCACTAGTCTCTTTTTTTTATCCTCGCTCAAATTGCGAGTCTCCAGCTTTTAGGAAAATGTTCTTGCTCTTAAAATGAAAATGTGGGGTGCAAAGGAGTGGGGGTGTCAGCTCAAGGTGAATTACTGGCAGGTGAGTTAAGTTTCTGAGCTGGGTGAGGAGAGTTGTTGTGCTGGAGCAGAGGGTGCTTTGCTGTACTCTCCTTCGAAGCAAAGGCAGGATACCAGGACGGGCTGAACCGCCATCGTGCTCGGCAGCATGCCGAAAACCCCGCAGAAGGGAAGTTGAGCTGTTCCGTCTGTGATGCGTGGGCAAAGCAATGCTTGGTGGAGGTGGGAATGTATCTCCTGCCCAAGGCCTTGCCAGTGACCTAGTTCATGAGCTTGTGGGAGTTTCAGCGCTGCACAGATTTTTGTGTCTGTACTCCCTGCCTTGTTTCTTTACTCTTGACACCTTCTCTTGAACTCTGCAGACTATTTCTCCAAGCCTGAAGCACTGGCAGGGTCCCTCTCTGGCAGGCAAGAAAGGAAGCAACATGAGGGAATAAGTACTTTAGGCTTTGTATACAAAAATGCAAAAGTAGGTATGTTACTAGAGGGTTTTCTGTCAGGGCAACCCTGCTGTAGTTTAATTTTTTCACAAACTGTCTCAGCAGCCGATGTTGGATGTTTGCCTGGACTGTAGTCTTTCTGGATAGAAAATGAATGCAACCCTCTGGTTTTGAAAACCAGCAATAGGTATGTTACGACTTTCCATATTGCGATTTCTAATTTTAAAAGTGAAAAAATAGGATGATTTTTATTTTTCCCATACAGAATTATTTTTTTAGGATGACAGTTAAATTTTGTACGTTAGACACAGTGTGGCATCTGGCTGTGCATAAGGCTACATCCACAGGGGGCCAAAAATGTGCAGAATTGCCTTTTTGCTTCTCAGTCCGCAAGATGTCAGTGATAATTGAGTTTAACTTTCATTGGGTTGACAAGAGGATAGAACTGGACCAAGAAATTTAGAAGTATGACTTAAAGTAGAAGGTTTGCAACTTTTCCATGCGATTTCCAATTAAGCAGTTTGTTGTTAAACAGGAAAGGTAATTCACAGAACATAAGAATAGTCCTCTAGGGTAGACCATTTTTATCATGCCAACATCTGTCCCTACCCACAGCCTACAGCAGATGATTTAGGAAGAACATGAGGACAGGGAAAGCTCTGCAGTTCTTATGAAACAGCCCCTCTAGGACATATTTTAGGACCTTTAATTACCTGTAACTGATTTAAATCTTTAAACCTGTAGCAACGTGTTTCACATTGTTTGTGACCTGCCTCAAAACATGTCCCAGACTGCTGCCTTTAACTGTGGGTACCTCTCCGTTTCTTCCAACTGGTATTTACGCTTGCCTAAATGGAGATCTGAGAAGCCTCTGTGGTTGGATGTGAAACGGATGTAGCCATGCATGTTTCATGGCCTTTGCTTTAGAAGGTCTGATCTCGAAGCCTGAGGGTTCAAAGATCCTGCAGTGACAGTCTAAGGAGGCATTTGCATTTTCCTAAAGTAAGACACTGAAACAAATCCATAAAAGCGTAATGCCCTGCTGATGTTAAGACAGCTGAGGATGGTAGAATGATGTTGGTGGAAATCATTCCTCAGAAGGAGTCTAAATCTATATATTAGTGATGTATCGAAAGAGAGAAAACATATGTTTCTTCTATCTTGGTGTATGCTGCAGATCTGTACTTTAAATCGAAATGAGCTAAGCGCTGGTCTTCCGTTCATTTCACCTTGTTACTTCTGAATGTCTGACTTCTCAGAATTTCTTCATCAAGATGTGAGCGTGCTGTGAAACTTGTGTTGTGAATCAGTGTCCTGGCTTTGTTTGGAGTGAGTTTTGTGCTCCAGTACCACTGAAATATAGTATGAAAAGAACATAACCTGCTCTTTCTTTTCTTTAGGAAAGATTGTTTGTCAGTGAAGAAAACGTCGTTGGATTTCTAGGCACTGTTTTACGCCCTCCCTTTTGCTCCCAATCAGCACTGGAAAGTCAGCCATTAATTGAAGTGCTTGATGTTACTGAGGACAGAATTCAAATCAGGTTGAAGGTAAGGATCTCTCTGGCAGTAGTACATATTGCTGACTGATTTATGTGCTTCAGCAAGATCATATCAAATCTGAGCGAAACAGCTTTGTTCCTGTTTTGTCTTGATATAGCCGGGAAGACCGTGGCATAGGGTGTATTTGCAAGTGTACACATCAGTTTTTAGAAGCATAGGTTCACGTTTGTGCCATTTAATGTGACCAAGGGATTGAAACCTCCTATTTTTCATTTGGGAGATGGAGAATTGCAACACAATCATTAAAGACAGTACTTTCTCCTTGCAGGAATACAGCATGGCATGCAATCGCTAAATCTGTCACTGGTATTAAAAGAAAAAAATGACTTGGTAACTACCTGGTATCCCTCATTCGGAGGGACCCCAAGTGCTTCCAGGTCAGAGCTGATGACAACGTGCTGCAAACAAATCTTGGCAGATGTCGTCAGACTAAAACCCAGAATGTTCTTAAAATGGAAATAAAGAAGTGAATAATCCACATCCTTCAAATACCCAAGAGTTTGGGCTCGTGTACTGGAGCCCACAGTTAAAGCATGCAGTCTTTTGCATGGTCACCTTTCTGGATGTCTGGTAACCAGAAGTGAACTTACCCGGAGGGACTTGGGGTCAGGAGGGAGTGGAGAGGCAAAGAACCTGGCTGCTGGGAGCAGGAAGCAGAAAGGGCTCCTTAAGATGGACAGAGGGTGCTCAGTCACGGCCACTGCTTCACTCTGCCTTCTCGCACAGGTAGAGAAAACCTTGAGGATTTTGTCTGTGAAGAATCGGGTCTCGTTATCTTTATTCGGTCCAAGTGTTTGAATACTCGGTGGTTTCCTGTTGTGTAGGTAATTAAATATGGGACTATTCATCTTAAACGCTGGTCTCAAATTCACTACTTGTAATGTTTAAGGCCTCATTCAGGCTACCCTTCTTCCTCAGTCACCCTGTCTATATAAAGGATGCAAGGTAGCCTGTTTCTGAAGTCTGCCACAGGATTAAAATGACCTCCCATTGCAAAACAGGAGATGGACAGATGAAGCAAACAATATGTTAGTTTTGTAAAGAGGAAAATGTGAGGTAAGACCCCCAAATCGACTGGGATTTCTTGGTAGACACTGTATCAGAAATTAATTTAATACTTGTCTTAAAGGAAAGATAATATGCAGGGACAATCAGGCTACTTCTGTGGCCATAAACGAGACTGGAGATACAGTTAAAGTGTAGATGGCTTCTTGGGAAAGCAAGCTCAGACGAAGCATGCGACCTCTGGAACTAAGCTGGAGGACCGAGGAGCGTACCCTGAAGATAGTGGCTTCAGCATTACTTGACAGGCTTAACTTTTGTAGCTAGTCTGAATTGTACATAAAAATTTAAAATTCAAATTGTTGGGAGAGCAGATGTGTATGTTCTGGTACCCAAGAAAGGAAAGCAATGGTGAAATTGGGTAACTGCTATTTAGACAACACTGGGTCTCACAGTTCGTACTCTCCTGAGGCAAACCGCAGCAGTTCCTGGATTAACTTGCTTAGGCCAATTGAGAAAGACAGCTCACTTACCAGTTACACCTTCCACGTACAACAGGATGGTAATTTCCCTAATTGCAAGGTTAAAACACACTTCTCTCAATAAGAGTTTAGATCCCTTGGCCGATTTTTGTGGCCCCCGAGTTCTAGAAAACAGCCTGGGTGTGGTGACTTGCTAGTCTTCCCTGCTGTTAATTGCGATGGAGGCTGTGGCTGCTTGGCAGCTGCCCAGCAGTGTTTCCTATTGCAGAGGAAACCTTCGGGAGGCAAACGACCTCCCTGCCACTCATTCCCATGTGTGGTACAAGATCAGGAAAACCTCAGCATGGTACTGACTTGGCTTTCTGGAAGTTGATGTTGGAGAAACAAGTGTCTTGGCCTGTCTTTACAGCAGTTTTGTGTGCCTGGTCTGTTTCAACTATAAACCAATTCATTTATTTTCTTGACAGCCGCAGGAAGCAGTCCATTCTGAACATGATGGAAAAGAAGAAACGCTTAGCAGCTCAGGAGGAGATCTCACTGAAAAGACAAATGGCAACTACCCCCAAACAAATGCAGAAACAAACTGTACTGCAGCTGACAGAGCCGAAGGAGAACATGCTGCAGAAACCAACAAAACTTCCACATCTTTTGCAACAGCTGAAACAATAGGAAAAGTAGGTTGTAGTTCACACCATTGTTTGCAGCATGAACCTTCTGACACCAGTTCAGCGATTCCTGGCGTATCTAGGAGAAAAGAACCAGATTTAGAAAGTGCCGTCACAGTAAGTGAAATGGCTGTGGCCACAGACTCTGGAAAACAAGCAGGCCTTCTGTTGGAGGGGCAGGCGAAAGCGGAAGGGGATGAAGCTGGTGTGCCCACAGGGTCAGCACAAGGGAACCAGCGCAGCCCGGACAGCAGGCCAGCCTCCCCGCTCCTGCAAGAAGTGAACACGCAGGATGGGAGTGTGCAGATCATTAGGGATCATGTAACGCACTGCCCGGTCGTCTTTCAGAATTCTTTGCTGTATGAATTGGACTAGTTTTAATTATTTTAGAATTTCCTTCTGTTGTTTGATGCTTACCACGACTTCCACATGCTGGTTTATGACTTCAGGGCTAAGAGTAGAACACAGGTGCCTACTGAAACTGTTTTGTTTACATGTCAAGACAGAATACTTACATTGTTAATAATTTTTGAAGTTAATAGGTCTGAGTTTTCTAATCATATGTATGGGCTGAAATAATTTTACGTACAAGAAAGATGCAGTTGAAGGTAAATCTGAGCTCCTGGAGGAAAATGCATCTTTATCGTTTACATAACTTAGTCTCTTGCTACATTAGAGGGAGTATTTGTATATATCCTTCTTCTAATGGCTCCTTCAGGAATTGCTGTGTTTAGTCCACCTAGAAATGAGTAGTATTCATCATTTTCCAAACCTTTCATTTTGTGACAACTGCAGGATTAGACTTAGAGTGATTTTCAGCAATCAAATGAAATTTCTAATTACATGGAGAAGTTCTAATTAGTCTCCTAGAAATAATCAACATTTATACCGTGTATTCCATCCTAGTACATTACTTAGGATCTGCAGCATCCAGACATACCCCAGTCTGTCAGCCGAACAAATTCAATTGCACAATAAAAACATCCTCTCTTGTTGCATGTCTGCTACTAAGTATTTACAATTTGTAAAATGGATTCACTTTATCCAGATTAGATCTACTTTTCAAAAACAGTTCCCCATGAGCTTCAGCAGGCTCTTTGCTGGTTCATCTCTCTAAAGTGTGATAACCCAAAGAACAGATCTAATAATAAACTTTCAGTTCCCTTTTTCGCTGCTTCTGAAATAATTTGAGTTGTACAAGACACAAAGGTGCTGTAGAAGAAAGTTAAATGTGACTTCTTTCACAGCTGCTCTGGAATTACTCTTACATTTCTCTGTTAAATGCAAGTGCTTGCAGTGGGGGTATGTGGTGTAAACTTTACTTTTTTAAGTTCAGCGGAAGCCACAGCTGCCAGAAGCATCTGCCCTACCCTCTGCGCCAGTGCCAGCGCAGCACCGACCCAGCTGAAGGCGGGCAAGTGGTTTGCTGGGTTCAGTTTCACCCTGGTCAGCTCTGTCACACAGCTGCACTGTTCCTTGTGGAGGGTATGGAAGGGCTGAGGCGCAGGCACAGCTTTTTCAGTGCCAGCCCTGACTTTGTGAAACTATGATAATGGAGCAAGTACCAAACCCGGTACAAAATCGTGGCAGTTAAATTACCCCTGGAAAAAAAGAGCATCTTGTCGCGGTCAAAATAAACATCTGCATGCTACTTTGAGTACTTCACAAAACTTGGCGCTCTCACAAATGGGCATTTAACTGATGTATTCACAACCCTTTCCATTCCATGTAACTGTTGCAGCCAGCATCCTAAGAGCACCGACCCCATTTTCTCTAATTAAAAAAACAAAGTTGTTTTTTCTCCAAATCTGGTAGAAAATCTACCTCTAAATATTCCATGTCTGTCACCTTAGTGTAGCGTTTTCTTTCTCTGATGTACTTCTGTTCTACAAAAAGCTTCTTATGAGCTACTGCTACCAGGTTTGCTTCAAAGTCAAGTGCCATTAAAGCAGTCGTACAGTTTGCCTTAAAACAGGCGAGGAACTGTTCGATGTTGACGAACAGCTCTGCTCTCTCCTGTTCATGGCTTTCAGCTCCAGTTCAGTGTGTTTCCATTACACAGCAGTATTTTTTACTGGTTGCTTTACGCAGATGACTAATTTGAAAGCGAACTTTTTTTTGAGCCAAACAAAAGAGGTGTCATGCCATGCATTTGTTACTCTATTCTGCCTCAATTAATGAGTACCATTACAAATTTAATGAAGTTAAATGCACACTACTAGAATGGGTGATGGCATGTGTTCAGCCCCCTGGATTAAAGAAAAGACGGGCCCCCCCTGCCCCGGTCCCGACCTTCTTTCTAGCAACATGAGATGATACCATCTTGTTGTGAGAATCAAGAACTTCTCTGGTATTACAAAACAACTGAATTTTATTTTGGCAGAACTAAAAAAATCGTATATTTATCTACATTGCAGTAAAAACAATGAATTTTTTTTTTCCTTCATATATTCATCAACACATCGCAACCAAACCGGGACACGGGTATCGGGCATGAGGTGACCCCGGGCGGGACGGCCGGTGGGACGGCAGGAGGTGCCGGTACCGCCGGCGGAGGCGGCATGCGAAGCCCGGCTCACCACCCCCGGCACCACCGCTCTCACTCTGATGGGGGAAAACCCCCACACCAGAGCACCATAAGCACCAGAGAAGACGCACTTAAACACAAGTTTTCTCCTCCTCCTCCTAGTTAACACAGCAGCGGCCACTTTTTGCGTAGGGGCTGCGACACTGCTCTGAGCGGCCCGGCAGCAGTAAGTAACCCGTTTCCAAAACGTGGTTGCCGAACATGAAAGATTACTATTTTGGGACACCTTTTACAAGAATGTTTATTCATATTAAAGCAGAAACCAACTCATAAATGCTTTTTATACACGTGTGTGCCTGTAAAAGACAGTATGGAACAACTCAAAGAGAAAAAGGCTGCGAGAACGATCCTCACTGAAGTCTGCGGTAACTTTTACAGAGTTCGTGGTCCCTAATATCTCCCCACCCTCCGTTTTTCACATGAGGGGAAAGGGGTGCCATGGAGTACCTTTTACTGACACTCATCGTTTCGGGAAACAGGTACTGTTGGTTGCTGTTCAAGAGAGAGTCGATTTTGGCACTCTGGGTGGACGGTCTGCAGGATTTCTTGTGGTGCATGCCGCAGTCCCCTGTGTGAAAAATCCTGGGGATTTCGGGAACCAGCACTTTCCAGAACTTTGGAAGACAAGAGACAGTCAAGTGCTGCAGAGTCCAGTCCCAGTTGTAGTCATCGTAGGTGCAGAAGGCGTCCGTGCACTCGATGAGCTTCTGGTAGGTGTCTCTGCCGAAGGCCATGCCCATGTTGTGCTCGGTGGACTTCCACGTCTTCATCTCCACCTTGTCGGCGCGGCCGGCGAAGCCGCCGCGCACGGGGCTGTAGGTGCCCAGGGAGACGATCTGGCACTCGGGGCACTCCCGCTCGCGCAGGGCCCAGAGCTTTTTGAGGACGTGGTAGAAGTCGGGCGCCAGGTAGTGGTCCTCCTCGAGGAAGAGGACGGGCCCGGCGTGCTCCCGCAGCGCCCGCACCCGCTCCCAGACGAAATGCAGCTTCCACCACCAGTGGTGCTTGGTTTGGGAGAAGCGAGCTTCGCGGTAGTGCCCGAAGGAGTCGGGGTACTCGGCGTTGATGCAGCCCAGGCGCAGGGCGGCCGCCTTGCCCACGTCGCGGGGGCAGTCGCGGGGGTCGTGGCCGGGGAATTCGCGGGGGTAGAGCTGGATGCTGAAGGGGAAGAAGACCTGCAGGACGGGGCAGAAGTCCACGCGTGCCGCCAGCCGGTTGAGCTCCTCGGCCCACAGGTCGTGGCTCAGCACCAGCAGCACGTTCTCCACTCCCGCCGCCCGCCGCAGCGACTCCAGCAGCAACCGCAGGTGCTCGGCTCGATCGTGCACCTGCACCACCAGCACCACGTCGGCGGCGGCGGCGGACCGCGCCGGGAAGCGCCCGGCGTTCCGCACCGGTTGGTCGAAGTTCAATCGGTAAACGAGCGAGCGGTAACTCAGCGTCCCGTTCTCCGTCAGCACCGGCGACTCTAAAGATGCAGCCGAAGCGTTAATAACGGCGGGGGGGCGGGGCGGGGCGTCGCGCCAGCCTGGCGCGACC